ACATTTTCTGTTTCGCTGTTGCAGCTTAACCTCTTTGTCTTCTCCACGTCCCTTTTACATGCTCAGTAAGTGTGTGCTGACCATGTCCCCTAAAAGGCAGGATGCCAGGTTTGAATTTGACTTAGTAGGCAGAGGTTTTCAAGCTGGGTTCTGATGAGATGGCGGGGTTCTCAGGGGCTGTAGGTGACAAGGTAGGTAGGCAGATGTAGAACTGTCACTCGCTGCTGCTTGGCGAAGGACCTATTACTAGTCTGAGACCAGATGCATACAGAAATAGAGAGTCCGTGCTGAGACACCTTTGATGGGGTTTTACGTTTGTTTTTCTGGTTTTGGTACTTCAGTTGGAAGTAATACTACTTTGTGTCATACCCTATGCCTTTATGACAGCTCTCATGGACTTTTAAAGTATGGCTTGATTCTTGCTGGCAGTACCTGTGACATGAACGCATATCCCTTAGTAACAGGCTGTATTTACAGGCTGTATTTGCTGTAAATACTTGAAAAGCTGTTGCTGACAATTCAAGGCTAATTAATGAATTTTTGGATGGTCCCAGTTTATTGATAACCCAAGTTGATTATTAGTTGTGACTTAATGAAACTATTGCCAAATGGCACATATGGGCAGGCAGGCTACACCCGCCTGTTCCCTCTGCAGTCTCTGAGATTTCTTTGTTGGCTTTGTATCTCCTCTCCGTTCTGTTTTGTTTAGATCATTTTTGGAAGATTAGTACATCACATCACGTTACGTTTTGGGGAGATGACTTTGTTTTCTACCCAGAGATCAACCTGAATTTGGTCCTGGAAGAGGTGTTCTCGATACATGTAATTAGATAATGTCCTCTTCCAACAGAATCCATATGCAAATAGATGTAGCATCCTCCGGTCTTATCTGCAGTCTTTCTCCTTCAATGTAGAAACCAGAGTTTTGAGCAAGAATTTTTCCAAATGGAAGCCGATCCCCTAGACCAGTGAACTCAACCTAGTCAGCTTGAGGAGAGAGACATTGGCCTCCTTGAGTTCGTGTAAATAAAAATACAGGGAGGAGGGGAACCTGCTGAATGAATCCGGTCAATGTGACAAAGAGCTATTCCTGTAAGATATTTTGTCCTCTGACTTATAAAACTTCCTTTTTGTTTTTCTCTCTTGCTTCTTTTGTGAAACTTGCTATTTTCAGGTGTTTTGATGTTTGGGGGAAGTTATAAATGGAATTGTGTATTTCAGAGAAGGTCAGGCTTAGGAGTCATCACTCATCACATGCCTATCTCTCTTTTTTATTTTTAAACGGCACACGAGTGTCTGACTTGCACATGGTATTTCTTGCTTGGCAGGCTGGTGCCAGACTCAGTGTCTGTTGTTTTTAAGAGATAAATGTCTGGTGGTTTTTGTTTTGCCGTGAGACACATGTGAGTCATACGTATCATGAACCAAGTCCTTCCCCCAAACCTCTAATTGTTTTGGACAACTTACCTACACTTCATCATCTAGAAGCTAATTTATTAAAAATTCCAACTGTGTGTCCATTTATAAAAGTTCGGTTAGTCATCTACACTTTATCGTCGATATAATCATTTCTTGACTGAGGGAACTACCAACCCTGTTGGCACTAACTTTGTCTTTGTGCTTGCACGTTGATCGTAAACTTAGAAAAAGATTAAAAATGAAGATGTAGGCCTCAGTCTCTGTGACTTCCTTCCTTCTTGGTCGTGGATAGCACCAAAAATCTAGATTTTACTAGTGTGTTTAATCCCGTGAATGACACTCTCTAATGCAGTCGTTAGTGTTTTGTTAAGAAAGCAAACAATACTATGATCAAAAAGAGACTGAAATATTTTATATTACATTATTGAATAACTTGCTCAGCGTTATCAAACTGATCTTTATTTTCTCAGCGTATTATGACAGGTACTATGTGTGACAGTTAGAATGGATGGCAGAGCCGGACTGTCCGGGATTTATGTATTATCTCTACCATTTAACTGGTTCCGTGATGTTTGAGATATTTGTCAAACAACTGGGTCTCTCCATGCCTTTGTTATGTCTTTGTAAAATAGGGAATAATAGTAGTACCTACTTCACAAGGTTGTTTTCAGGATTAACTTAATTAATATATATAAAGTGTCTATGTGAACAGTGCCTGGCATTGCCTACAGGTACATAGAAGTCTTAGCTATCATTGGTCACCTTTTTGATTGTCTAGTTTTACAAAGGTTTGTTAATAACAACAGAAATGTATTTACCATATATTAAAAGTATGTACTAAGATTTAAGTTTTTAAAACTAAAAATTTCCAGTAGAAAGCTACTTTTTATCTCTAACTCTTAAGAAAGAACAGTTGGACTGAAACACTCCATTATAGAGTTTGTTGCAAAGCAATGTTTTAAAACAAAAACAAACTTAAAAAAAAAAAAGTCTGTCCATGGAGTTGAATGGGAGACTCAGTGATGTGGTTCTGCCTTTTTTTTCTTTTTTCCAGCATTGTGTTCTTTTAACATTTCCTAAGTTCCTGATTGAAAAAATAAAGACAGGTGATTTTCAACAAAGTAGCTATGTCGTCTTTATATGCCTTATATCTAGAACTTAAGTTTTTTTTTTTTTTTTTGACTGTGGACATACTTCCATATTATTGTTTTAAATAGTCTTTTTTTTTTTTTTTTAATTGGGAACATTTCCTTGAACATTCACATAGAGTATCAAAAGAAGTTTTTGTTTGTGGTTGGAAAAAAATGTCTTTAACCTGCCAACAGAACTTAAAATTGCATAAGAAAATGGGTGTTGATGCAGAGGAATGGTGTGTAGGCAGCAGATCTCTTGTTCTGTCTGAAAACAGTGATGAAATACAAACAACCAGTGTGGAACTGCTGTTGCTCTGTTTCAGTGTGGGAAAGACAACTTCAGAGGAGGAGAAAAACTGCTCTTTTAATGCTTTTATTATATTTTAGGCATGGGACTTTGTTGGCAAGCATTACAGGGATCACAGAAAGCTGAGATCTATAAAAAGTACTATGGTGCCTGTTTCATTCTATTTATGTTGAACTTTAGCAGGAGTTTGGGATTCATTTTTGATCTTTAAGTGCTCCTGTGAACTCTTGAAATTATTTATAGAACTTTGCTTTTTTTTTTTTTTTTGAAGCTTTTATGATGCCTTGTTGTCATTAACCAGTGTTTTACTCTTTTGGTTTTGGTTTTTATTGTAGCAAAATATACATAACATAAAATATACCGTTTTACTATTTTTAAGTGTCACATTCAGTGGCATTAAGTACATTCCTATTTTTGTGCAGCGGTCACCTCCATCCACCTCTAGAACTTTTTTATGGTGCCATCCTGAAACAGTGTATCCATTAAACAATAACCCCCAGACCCTCCTGCTGTGGCAACCACTATTCACCTGTCTGTCTTTATGAACTTGACTATTCTAAGCACCTTATGTAAGTGGAATCATATAACATGTGTCCTGGTTTATCCATGTTTTATCAGAATTTCACTTTTTTTAAATGTTTATTTCTGAGAGAGAGAGAGAGAGAGAGAGAGAGAGAGAGAGAGAGAGAATACAAGCGAGGGAAGGGCAGAGAGAGAGGGAGACACAGAACCTGAAGCAGGCTCCACATTCTGAGCTGTCAGCACAGAGCCCGACGTGGGGCTCAAACTCACGGACCGTGAGATCATGATCTGAGCTGAAGTCGGACGCTCAACCGGCTGAGCCACCCAGGCACCCCCAGGATTTCATTTTTTAAGGCTGAGTAACAGTCCTTTGTATCTGTATACCACATTCTATTTATGTGTTCTCCCGTTGATGGGCAATTGGGTTGTTCTACCTTTGGCTATTGTGAATAATACTGCTATAAACATTAGTGTGCAAATATCTGTTTATGTCCCTGCTTTCATTTCTTTTATGTGTATATTGGAATTGGAATGTTGGATTACATAGTAATCCTGTGTTTAATATTTGAGGAACTGGCACACTGTTGTCTACGGTAGCCACACCATTTTATACTCCCACTGTCTGTAGAATCTTGTGGGGTGTGTGTGTGTGTGTGTGTGTGTGTGTGTGTGTGTGTGTGTGTATACAAGAGCCAGTCATAAGATTTCATCAAAAACTCAAGAGTGTAATCTTTGTATTTGGTCTTTAACAGATTTACTTCAATTCCTGCATACTTAATACAATGAGTAGTGTAGTATAGATATTAATTATATTAAGTCTACCCACTTGTTTTCTCATTCCACTGAAACTTCTGTGGGTAGATGAAATCCAAGGAGTTATCCTTCAAGTTTAGTTACATGTGTTAACACCAAATAGGTAGCCATCGTTAGGTAGAGTCTTGTGTTCAAGTGTCTTGATAAACAGTCTTCGTTCTCAGGCTCAGAAGATCGAGATGTCAAAACACAAAAAGTAGCTTTCAATTCTGAACTGAGTATGGTAGCAGATTGGCATTAATAATTTTGGTTTCTTATCTGTACAGAAGAGATTTGGCTTGTGGGCCAACAGACTCTACTGTGTGCCTTTCAGTACTTGGAGAGACTATTTTCAGTGTGAATATGATCATGGATTTCTTTATGTAAATAGATTCTTAAAATAGGTTTCTGGTCTATTTTAAAATGGATTATTATCAATCAACGACATTATCATAACTTGAATTTTTTTCATCTAACTTTAGAATGATGACTAGCAAAAATATAGTAGAAATATGACGCATTTTCACTTCCTTCAAATAAATAAAATAAACCCAGTGACAGAAGTCCAATATTATGTTTTGTCCTAGATCCCCATAACACTTTAAAATTATATGAAGTTGAGCACAATAATATGAGCTACTATTCAAGATTCTCTTCATTCTATTTTATTTCTTAAGGCAGAGGATTTGTGTCATAAAGGAGTTTCCTTCCTTCCTTCCTTCCTTCCTTCCTTCCTTCCTTCCTTCCTTCCCTCCCTCCCTCCCTCCCTCCCTCCCTCCCTCCCTCCCTCTCTCCTTCCCTCCCTCCCTCCCTCCCTCCCTCCTTTTTAAAATATGGAACACTTCACGAATTTTTTGTGTGTCATCTGTGGGCAGGGGACATGTTAATCTTCTCTGTATCGTTCCAATTTTAGTATATGTGCAACTGAAGTGAGTGCAAGGATTTTTTTTAAAAAAATGAATTTTAGAGTCCTGTATTTTGGAACCAAATTTAAAAATCCAAAACTGGGGCAACTGGATGGCTCATTCGGTTAAGTATCTGACTCTTGACTTTGGCTCAGGTCATGGTCTCATAGTTCGTGAGTTTGGGCCCCCACATCGGGCTCTGCTCTGACAATGCAGAGCCTGCTTGGGATTCTCTCTTTCAATCAGTCAATCATTCTCTCTCTCTCTCTCTCTCTCTCTCTCTCTGCCCCTCCCTCCTTTCAAAATAAATAAATAAACATTAAAAAATCCAAAACAAACCAAAGAAAATTGCATATAACTCTAACATAGTAAGACTGCAATAAAAGAAGTTGCCCCTCCCAAATGGAGTGATGCTCTGACACCCCACCTCTTCTCTCATCTCCTTTCATTCAGGATCACTTTGTGGGTATGACTGGGGCAAATCTCAGCACTGTCTTTGGGCAGGAGAAGAGGTTGAGAACAACCAGTACTGAAGTATTAGATTACATTTTAGAAAACCTGGTTTTTGCTTCTTCAAGTCAATTAGCTGAATCATTCGGTCTCCATTTCTTACTCATGTTTTTTTTTTTTTTTTAATTAAAAAAATTTTTAAAGTTTGTTTTAAAAGAGAGAGCAAGCAGGGGAAGGGCCAGAGAGAGGGGGAGGGAGAAAGAATCCAAAACAGGCTCTGCACTGTCATCACAGAATCCGATGCGGGGTGTGATCCCACAAACCGGGAGATCATGACCTGAGCTGAGATCAAGAGTTGGACGCTTAGCTGACTGAGCCACCCAGGTGCCCCTCCATTTCTTGTTTGTAAAATGTTAGGCTTGAACTAGAAGGATGTACTTTTTGAGGGGGTGTGGGGTGTGTGTATGATTCTGGAGTCTTACTTAGCAACACTCAAACTTCAGAAACCCAGGAAATTCCTCCAACAGTCTCATAGAGTTTCTATAATGTCCTAACCCTAGAATTCTCTTCTAGTTCGAAGGAAAGGACTGTCCATCTTGTGAACCTCAAAATCTCCCAGCACAAGGCATTTCTCACAGTTGGCACCTAGAAAGAATGCAAATGCATAGAAAATTATTCAGATTAAGGAAGGTACAAATTGTCATGGCAACAAACACTATTTAATTGGTTCTTTGAAGCTCTTAATGGCTTTGGTGGCCCTATTCGTTATGTGGATCCATACATTTTGACTGTAGATCGTAGAAATCCTAATGATAATGAGATATAGTGACTTGTAGAACTCAAAGTTAGGAGATACACCTTAATCCAGTGGTGTTGTTTGCATTTTTCTGTGATTTCTTTGACTCTATCTTCCTTTGGCTTTAGCCTTAGGGTCAAATGGTCTTTAGTTCATAATCTGTAAAACGAAGGGGTAATATTTTAAGAGACTATTTCCCCCAAACTCTCAGTGCATTTCATTGAATTTTATCCTTGTACAAGTATGAACTAATTCTTGGTTCCTTGAGAAAGCCGTGCACCAATTGGCTTAGGTCTGAGTTCCTGGGCTAACCGTTTATGAGAGGAGGAAAGGAATTACTTCCCTTTGATTAATCATGCCCTAGAATACTCTAGAATTGAAGACACAGTGAGTTCATCTTGACCTGCGAAAGGAGGATGACAGGAGGGAGGGGTCCATTCTTGAACAAAACCAGTATTCTTTTAGGACGTGGAATGGGACCAAGTCCAGGGCGGGGTATACCAGCGTGTCCTGTCGTTCACCCTTTCCACTCCCAAATAGCCGTATACATTTTTCCTCTTACGCGTGTTCTTAATGAAAATTTGCCCTTAGATGAAACGCTCTCACTGCCTCCCAAAAAAAGGACTTTTCCAGGTCTCATCTAGTTCCAACAGCAGGATCTTTAGTGATGTATTGTCTTCTTTCTCAAATCTGAGGGAGCATCTCATGGTCTTGCCCCCTGTGGCTAAAGAATAACATGTCTGTCCATAGTGCTCACGCCAGACCAGGGAGATTGCAGTAGACGTTCCCATGTTTAAAGGAGGATACTGGAAAAGTACACACAAGGATCAGTGATCACTCTTTCCTAGTCCAGGAGAGTTGAGTGCCCCTGTACTGGGAGAAGGTTAATTTCTTAGTGATTTTTATCTCTGAGAGTGTCTCCTTTTCCCTGGTCTCCCATGGCCTCTCAGGGGTGGCCTTTGAGAAGGACTGAACGACCATTGGAAACTGCAACTGCACTAACTCTCTCACCTCTTGTGGGGAATTGGGAGGGAGGGACCTCAGGTTGCCTCAGATCTGTGGTTCTCAGTGTGGTCGGGACCAGCCACATAGCAAATTATGGGCTGTCACCCCAGACCTAATGACTCAGAACAGGGGCTCCAGTGGTATATCCTTCAACACTACCTCCCAAAGCATCAAGTGCGCTTTCTAGTTTAAGAGCCATTGACTTAGACACTTAGCGTTTTTTTGTGGTTTCTTTGGCAAATCAACTCCCTTAAGACTAAGTGGGCTACTAGTTGGTTTATGGTCAGTTCCGTTTGCAGTAATGATAGTAGCAGAGACCCTGCCTGGTCATTGTCTCTGAGCCTGTCAGAGCCTGCTCCTGCCCTGTCTTGGCCTCTGCTTGTTCCCTGTCTTTGTGCTGCACCTTAATTGCACTTTCACAAGGAAGTGTATTGTCATCTTTGTTAGGCACGGGTATGCCTGTTAGAGGGAGGTGCTTGGGAAAGGACCCTTGTGGGGGTAGGTCAGGTGTCTTCCAGGCTCCATTCTGCTCTCCTGGGAAATTTCTATCTTCACAGCCTCTGTTTTCGCAAGCTTTAGCTCTGTTTCCACTAGCATGGCTTTTTGGTTGGTTGGTTGGGTGGTTGGTTGGTTGGGTGGTTGGTTGGTTGGTTGGTTTGTGTCTGAACTGTACTGGAGTCCACATTACTGAACTTTGAGCTTTTTTGGGTTATAGAGGTGGAGAGGGCCTCTCATATCAAAGATCTGTTTCTCCCCTCCTTGCTTTCAGCCTAAGCTTATCTTTATCTAGGCTACAGGAAGCAGGCAACACATTTCTTCCGTCTTAATTTTTGTACCATTTACGTTTCTTTTTCTTGAAGCAGCCATAATAAATACTTGGAGCAGATTGTGAGATTTAAGGTATTGGCTTTTCGGTTAAGAGTGCTGATGTTAAACTCTATCAGAGTTAGAAACTGGTGCCACCAACAGATGGGAAGCAGATAAGGAAAAGCAAGTCCTTTCTCTCCTGTCTAGCCTTTCCATCTCCCGCTTTTGACCCATGGCCTCACGGGGTCAAGCTGGCAAAACATGGAATCCATGGAATAGAACTCAGCAATAAAGAACAATGCACTGTTGATACACTCTACAGTATGGATGAAAGCGGTCAGACATAAAGGAGTGTACACCTTATGAGTCTATTTATATAAAACGCTACAAAACTAGTTTATCATGAATACTAATGGTGAGAGAAAGATGGGGTTCTGGCTCCTGGGCTGGAGAGGTGACAGACTGGATGGAAAAAAACCAAACGGACACAAGAAACCTTCGGGGTTGATAATTTCACAGATACATTCGTTTATCAACTGTCATCAAGGTGCACATTTTATTTTTCAGGGAGAGAGAGCACGTGTGCGTGCAGGGGAGGGGCAGAGAGAGAGGGAGACAGGGGCTCCAAAGTGGGCTCCATGCTGACAGCAATGAACCCAATGCAGGGCTCAAACTCAGGATCCATGAGATCATGACCTGAGCCCAAGTCAGAAGCTCAACTGACTGAGCCACCCGGTGCTGCAAAGTGCATCTTGTAAATATGTGCAGTGTACTGTATGTCAGTTTTATCTCAGTAAAGCTAGTCAGATTACTGATACATTTCTCCATTACAATAATGCAGATGAAGCAAACAGTCTCCCCCTCCAAAATAAAACAAACCAAAACAACCCGTCGAATCTTCGTTACTGTAAGTAAAAAAGAGGTGGGTGCCTACACTCTTCCTGGCCCTTAATTAGTCTGCGTCCTGTAAATTCTTCCAACTTCCGTCTTCTTCTCTGAAAACCAGAGCCCCTACCACCTGTCTCAGGGATACCTCCCAAGGAGTCTGTGCACATCAAAAATGAGGTGGGAGTGTGTTATGTGAGTTAACACCATTCCTCCTCACATTCCTCCTGAGCATTGAAAAGATCCTTCAGGAGCTTCTATTTGGCCTCCATTTCCTTCTACATAGATGCAAGGAGAAAGAGTTTATGTCCCACAGATACGCTATACCTGCATTTTTTGGTAGTGAGTTAGTTGGGTAACTGTGTCATTAATTTGAAGCTGTCTTCAAGAAATGGCAGTGGGAAAAGATACGTCTTGAAGCAAATCAGGCTGATGATGTGTGACAAAGGCTGTTTGATTTTCTGTGTTTCAGTTATTCTGTTACCACACATGTAATAGATTGGTATATTATAAAAATATTTTCTCAAAAAAACCCCACAAAAAACAAACAAACATAAAAACAAAAAAAAACAAAAAAAACAAAGGCCGGGGCGCCTGGGTTGCTCAGTCAGTTAAGCGTCTGGATTTCAGCTCAGGTCATGATATCATGGTTCATGGCACTGAGCCCTGAGTTGGATTCTACACTGACAATGGGACGCCTGCTTGGGATTCTCTCTCCCTCTCTCTGCCTCTCCCCTGCTTGCACACACATGCTCTCTCTCCTCTCTCTCTCTCAAAATAAATAAATAAACTTGGAAAAAAATAAAAGCATCAAGAGGTAATCATATCTAGAAACTCACCTTTACACTACAGCTATCCTGTGGCAAGTTGAATGAGACAAGAAAGAGATAATCTTATTCCTGGCGTAAATACTCTGCTGGAGTGTGCATCTGGTGACTAGTGACTGTGCAGGGTTTATGGCTGTTTCATGTTAACATTTTTGTAGCTGACAAGTGACTTTTTTTTTTTGTTTTGTTTTACAAATAAGAGAAAAAGAAAGTGGTTGAGTTTTTCCAGCAATGAAAGGATCCAAAAATTCCAAAAAACAGAAT